AAATTTTGCTGGAGGAAACGAGGTGCATGTTTTTTAATGCATGTTTGGAAAAGAGTAATGGGGATTTTGACAAGCAGGTAGAGCTGCATAAAGTGCAGTCGGATGAACTGTGTCGATCGATGACGCATGAACTGTGTCGATTGATGACGGATCAACCGTGTCGATCAATGACTGATCAAAATGGTTGATCGATGACGGATCAACAGTGTCGATCGACGTCAGATGTTTAGTGTCGATCGACGTCGGATTGTCAGTATCGATCGACGTCGGCAAAAGAGATCGAACGATCGATGTTCGACAAGCTGCCAAAATTCTCAAGTTCTGGAAATCAACGTGTTGAGTCTGAAAAATGCAGTAGTGCTAGAGATAGACCAAGTATAGTTGATGTCAGACCACCAGAGATATCACTTTGATGATATGGTGGGTTATGCACTGCAAGGTGCAGAGAAAGTGAATACTTATGAGCCGTTCACTTACATAGAAGTTGTTTCTAGTTGTTAATAATATTGATTACTAACATTCTACAAAACAACTATAATAAATTTGACAAAAGTTCCTCTAAATAAAAGCCTCATTCTCCACTATTTTATAAATCCTCGTTAAAAAGATACAATGGTCGATCTCATTCTCTTTTTGTCAATCCGATTGGTTTATGCAATTTATAGTGTTATAAAACTTAAGACACTATAAAACTTACAATTACAGATTAAAACAACAGAAATATTAAGAATTTGATCATTTTAGTTATATAATTGAAATTTGGTGTACACAACATAATCATATTCACACCCAACTTAGTATAAAAGAAAACTTACAAATTTTTTATCGTTTATAAGAACTGATCCATCAAATCTCGCGCGTAGTGCGGACCTCTCCTAGTTAATAATATAATAAGTTGTCACATAAGAATTTTCAAATCAATACACTATGATTGATTGACACAGCATTAACATAAGCATTATACTATTTATTATCCAATCAACATTTATAATAAAAACATTTAGAAAAGCATTTACAAGATGCTAATACTCTCCAAATCTCTATTGTTCAATACTCTTATATAGAGTGTTTGGGAGAGCATTTGAAATTAGAATAGATAAAAAACTAAAAAAAATAATTATATATAATTAATTTAATTTAATTTTAATAATATTAAAATAAATTTTTATTGTGATTAAATATTTTTAAATTTTCTTAAAATAAATTATTTCAAATTAAAAATTTAATATAATTTATATAATTATACATATCATTCATTAATTTTAATAACAAGACATAACATACTATATATATTATAGATATAAGCATATATATATATATATTATTTAGACACTAATAAATAAATTTATATCAGATATAAATTTTTATAATAATTTAATATATGAAGCATTTACTACTCTACCAACAATTAAATAATGATAATATATATATATATATATATATATATATTATATAATTAATTTATTTTATTTAATAATATTAAAAATACTTTTATATTTTTAAATTAAAATGGAAACTTTTTAGATAATAATATTTGAGATATTAATACATAATATAGTTTATATATTAGAATAAGATTCATTGTTATTAATAAAAATATATTATTAATAAAAATATATTATATATTTAAAAAAAATAAAAAAATAAATGTATTAGCTATTAAATTTATTATAATTTAAAATTGTATATTGTTACTGCTCTACCAATCACTTTATTAAAAAAATTAGTAAGACCATACATCTTTTATAGCATATTGCTTCTGCAGCATATTGCTACTTCTTTATCATTAGTTGTACTGATAGAGGCATAATATTAGAATATCATCATCTTTGGGTAAGTGTTCACATATGAGGAATACGATTCAAAAAAATTAGAAACATATGGATTCGTCTTAGTTATCCTCTTCATATGTTTCATTAATCGACATTATATAACAAACACATTATCTTATGAAAAATATTATACAGTTATGGAAAATCATCAATAAAACACATTGATGCAGTACCATGACTTTTGAAGGTATTTATATACGGACACCGTGCTTCATTTGCTTATGCAACATTTTACAAACATGATAACTACATATTCACGAAGGAAGCGATCTCGATTCATTATATAGGAAAATATTTAGAAGGTTAAACTTTCTTGAGAAGAAACAAC